GGGGGGGGGGGGGGAAGAGTATTATAAAGGGGTACTAAAAATAGTATGCAATTATTTACAAATATTCTAGAAATGTAGGAGACAGATGAGACCAAATGCATGTCCCATTTGTATCTTGAGTGTTTTGTGCTGCTTGTTGAGGACAGTCATTCATTTCTAGCAAACCAGATTCTGAAAACCATTTCATAAAATGTACTGATGGATTCTCAATGAAGCGAGACTGGACCCCGTTGCCCAGCCCCACCAAAAATAAAAAAAAGAAAAAGATGTTTGGAAACAAAGGAGAAAAATAGCACTGGTACCATACTGCCAAACCAGCACAGACCAACAGTGGCACCCGGCGGCCACGGAGACTCACTGCGCCTCCGGGCTCCAGCACGCTCCCCGCCGCCTGGGACAAAAATGAAATATCGTCTAAAATACCCTCCCAAGTTCCTGTTGCAAATGAAAAAACACCGGAACTGACTAACCTGACAGATGCTGAAGAAGTTCTGATAACCAAGTTTGTTTGGTTTTGGGTTTGTTTTTTTTTTAATTATCTTAGCATACACTAGGAGATGCGACCCTTCTAGAAGCTCGGGCAGCAAACAGTTGATGCTTTTGGTTGCAGTCATGAGAAATACATTCTGAAAAACACTGACTGAAAACCAAAGTATGTCATGTCAACTCTAGCACTTCTATATAAAATACATTCATACATGCATCTCGGCCTTCTCAGTCAAAAAAACACATGCTAGAAAAGTTTTCACCTTATCCAGTAAAGCCAGGATTGAAAGTAGAGCTGATCACAAACAGTTACAAAGGGCTGGCAGGGGAACGCTGCAGGAGGGGACAGAGACTGTTTGCCTGTTCTTTATTAAAATTCCGAGCAACTGATTATTCTGTCTGGAATTGTATCTTTTGGAAGGCTTGGGATTCAGCTAGAACTGAATTTTTAGATGCAAGTCACTACACAAGCTGAACTTAAAAGTCAGAAATTATGTGAAAACTGCACCGTATTTAAATGAATCCAAACTGCAGAAATTACTACCCACAGCTCCTGAGGTTGTAAATAGCTTAGAAGGAGGAACTGGGTAATGTAGGGTTTTATCTTAAATAATTTGTGCTTATCTGAAGCACTGGGACTCTCTTTCTCCACCAGTACTATTGCAAGTTTTCTTTGCCAAGATAGGATGTAGCCCCTCGTAAACCTCTGCTCCCAAAGGCACCTGAACACGTGATCTGACCTGTTTGGATGGGAGGTAGGCAGCATGAACTGGAACTCCACCACACAAGTGTTATCCTTCAGCTGGCGATGCTGGACGCTGTTTAACTCGTAGGCGATATAGGCCCTTCGAACGTACACCTGGTTAGAGAGAAACCCCATCAGTGTAACTGTGCTCAGGAAGCAGAGAGAAACATGACAAATAATACACCAGAGACTTCAAAAATATTAAAAACCAAACAGATACCTCCAAATGAGTATCTAGATAGAACTCTAATTCAAGCAGCATTTAAAGTTATTCTCTGAGGAAGGTCAGCCTGGCAGGATAGAACCATCAGCACAAGGCACACAGGGTAGGCTGACCCCATTCTCTGACAGCAGCTTCACTTTCAATCCTTTCAACCACTTAAGTCTTCCTCAAGCAAAGACAACTTGAATCTGAAATTTCAGTCAACTGCAAGTATTAATGCTGTGAAATGCCAGACTCCAAGCATGCCAGATTCCACACAACCTACAGCTCTCTTTATCTTGCAAAACAAAAAACCCGAAACAAAAAACCCAGAAAGAACTAAAAATATTTATTTTTTTAATGTAATAAACTTACCTCCAAAGCTGCCATTCTTACCACCTGGTTACTGTGGTAGAAAAAGTTGGGTAGCACATCAAAGATGGATGTCTCAGACAAAATGAGTTTCTAGAAGAGATCACATTAAGCGGAGTTTTGAGAGAACTGCCTGTCTTGCAAACAGGGTCAGGCAAAAGAGCAAAAACCCCAAATCAAGCCTGATTAGTTCTGATTTTCATGCTTTTCCTGTTGTTCATCAAGGATTATGACCTTTACATTAAATCACAGAATCACAGAATATCTCAAATTGGAAGGGATTCACGAGGATCATTGAGTCTAACTCCTTGCTCCTCGCAGGACTACCTAAAACTAAACCATATGGCTAAGAGCACTGTCCAGAGGCTCCTTGGGCTCTGCCAGGCTTGGTGCCGTGACCCTGGGGAGCCTGTTCCAGTGACCGAACACCCTCCCAGTGAGGAACCCCTTCCTAATGTCCAATCTGAACCTCCCCTGACGCAGCCTCATCCCATTTCCTCATGTCCTACAGCTGGTCACCAGAGAGGGGAGATCAGCACCTCCCTCTCCGCTGCTCCCCTTGGGGAAGCTGGAGTCTGCAATGAGGTCATTGCGCTATCAGGGGAGGGATGAAAACAAAAATAAGGGGGAAGCTACAAACCAGGACAGTACGGTTTAAAGCCCCAGTGACCTTGGGACTGGAGGTGAGATTTAATGCAGAAGTGAGAAGAAAGCAGGGAAACAAGGCGAGAAGTTTGGTCGATACCTGCAGGTTCTCGATGCAGAACTGGTGTCCGTACATGTCAATAGCGGACAGGAAGATGGACTCCACCTGGTTGTGACGCAGCTCGTAGGATGGCAGATGGGAAGCAATGAGAACCTGGTAAACAGCAAACACAAGGAGTGTCAGGGACCAGAGCTGTGCTGGGCCATCGGCAGGAGGCTGTTACCTCCAAGGCAGCACTACTCTGCTCCAGCCCAGGAGAGGAGACTGGTTTCTCCTGTGAATTCTGTGGCACCTGGGTGATGCTGGAAACTCTCTCCCCTCCCCAACCTCATTTGTGTATCTGCTCGGTTTGTATTATTGGCAATTCCCCACGGAGAAAAGGAACAGCTTCAATCAAGTTCCATCAGTGCATGTGATTTAGCACTGCAGAGCTGCTAGTCCTGGGGATTGCCTGACCGGCTGTTAATTGGAAAGCAGATCTGGCAGGCAGCAGCTGTGGGGAGGCCAGCAACGGAGACCGCCTTTCACAGCTTCGAGCAGAGGAAGCAAGAGACACTGGTGCCAGGTATTAAATGCCCAACATGAAGGATACAGAGATAGGAAGGGGAAGCAGCTTGCAGGGGAAAATGAAGTGAAAGAGCAACATAAAGACATACACAAGGACTGCAGCACCATTCCAGCATGCTGCTGAGAGGTTCAATAACTGAATGGTTCAAGGACACAAACACAATCCTGAAGGAAACATAAGGTCACTGAGCAGCTTCAAACGCCCCACTCATTTTCAACAGTCAAGCTCTGAAATAAAAGGAGCGATCCCAAAGTGTCAGCTTTCCTGCTTAAGACTTTCAGAAAGAAGATAGGGACTGTGGAGCAAGAGGAGTGATCAGACTACGGGGTTAGCGTTATCGTGAAACAATTATGCCCTCTCGCTCCTTCCTGGCTACAGACTAACTGCTGAAGAGGAAGCTCACAGTAACATCAAGGCAGATATCTGGCATTCAAATTATTATCTGGTACTAGACTCTTGGAATTGACAGTATCAAGAGATTTGCAGTTATTTTTCAGGTTATAAAGAAATCGACAAAAAGCAACTCAAAAGCTAGAAGAAACCCTGTGAAAGACCAACATCATTCTCTGCAATAATTCCTTGGCAGTTGCAAAGAACATCTGGTTCTTGTGTAAACTTCTCTCCCTGTTCTCTGCACATGCTGATTTGCAATCCTAAGGTAGCTGATGAACCTGGAGAGCGTGTCCTGGACAGATGAGACAGTCAGAAGGAACCACAGTGACCATGGATTCCAACTTCCTCCATCGCACAAACCAGAGCCTACTCTCAAATAACTCCTATCTGAGCCAGACAAAACTTTTCAGAGGAGCAGAGACAAAGGAGTGTAATCTTAACTTCAAATTTCACGGTGATTGGGAATCCACCGCGGTCTTTGTTAGACTGTCACAACGGTTAATCATTGGTTAATTAGCTCCACTGCTAAAGGGCTGCTCACTGTAATCTACTCTTTACATTTGCATAGTAATCAAAATAAACATCAAGAGATATAGACTTCCCAAAAGAGCGAGCTCCAGGTGGGAGCAGTCCGCGTGGATCTGATGGGCAGCGGCAGGGCCCACCTCCACCGGGATCAGCTCGCGTTGCCAAACATGCTCCCTCACCTGCCGCGCCCGCAGGGCCACTTTAGCGTTGGTCGTCTTGCTGAGCTGGGTCAGCTCTGTCAGAATATTAATCAGCTCATCTGTCAAGGTGGGGTCACGGCCACATAGCTGGTCCTAAAAATAAAGAGAACTGAAAATGTTTAGAACAGAGGAAAACCATCTTCTATCCTCCTACAAGGAGTTTAAACCTGAAATACATACACGTGTGCTCTCAGGTGCTGGACCACACCACCTCTGGAGGGCCCTGTCTAAATTATTCTCTAATCCTGTGCTGACAAGGGTACAAGTATTAGGCTGTCAATAATTTTACACAGATCCATAAAGCTACAGAGGAAAGAAGGGCCTGGTACCATCAGCCATTTTCTTACTTATAACATGTGCTTTGGCATCCAAACACATGAGAAATACCAACTTGTCAAAAGACTCAAGTAAAACATTTTCCCATTACCCAATTTCAGCTTTGTATCAGAAGTCTCCCCTAGCAGCAATCTAAAATTCAAACAGCATTTAATTGTAGTGAAATGCCTTGTGTAGCATGCAAAGATGAGAAAATTTTCACCATGAAAGGTGACCAGAGAGTTTAATTGCCAGGAGAACTTAAATAAACCCTCAAAATCAAAGAAGACCCACAACTCCACATCCACAAACCAACCACATGCTTTGTACAGCTTCAGTAACACCAGAAAAAACAGATCCTGTCATCCCTCTAACAAAGCTAAGCAAAACTTATAAAGCCATAAATGATATAATGTGTTTCCTGCCGCAGTACAGGACTGACTCCATATTATTTCTTCTAATAGGAGAATCCTGGTTCTGAAGAAGTTCACTAACTCTACTGTCTGAATTGGCTGGATAAAACAATAAAACTGAGCAGCATCATTTTCAGTGCTAATGCTGTTTCAAAACTCTTTTGGATTCAGCCATTCAAAAAAGGCAAACAGTAAAGACTTCAGTCTGTTTTGTTTTCTGAACAGAGGAGGTGCGGTCTCATTCACACTTTCTTCCAAAAATAGTTTCAATTCCCATGAACAATCCCATGGTCTTCAACCACTCACACCGGCTTGTGAGCCTCTTCCCTCCCACTCCCAAAGCTGGAGACCCTCTAGGAGCCTCTAATGTGTTTCTTCTATGCAGCACTTAACAGCTTTTCTCTTGGTAAATGAATCACAGGAGGAAAATGAGAGATGAAACAGGGATTTGCAACAGGTTTTAAGAGATTTTAAACACATACAGTCCAGAAAAGGCCCTTTGAAGATCTAAGAAATAGAAAGGGGAAAAGGGAAACCTCTGCACAGCAGGTTAGATTGATAAGCCTGACAGTGAAAATAAAGTAAAAAACAAAAACCAAGTAATATGAGTCCCACTGACTGCCTACAAAGTAACAGCTCACACTACATGTGATTCCAAAGCTAAATAGCTTTTCTCCCACATTGCTCTTGACCCCTTTCTCTCCAACCCCACTCAAGCATGATGCCATCCCTAGGAACGATGGTGTACATCTCTCAGGGGGAGGGACCACAGCCAAATCACTCTTATTTAGAAAAAATATATATATCTAAGCTACTACCTCTTCTTAGATTGTTATCCCCTGCTAACCAGTCTCAGGCCAGCAAACGCTACAGCGAGTGTTCCCAAAGAAAGTTCTATAAATTTATCCACTCCAGGTCACTGTGTGAATTCACAGTAAATAATTCAGGAAGTGTCTTCATTGCATTTAAAATACAAATTCCTGGGTGTTGTAAATGTTACTGCTCAAGGTAACAAAAATCCAAGAGGACACAGGACATCTGCCACAAGCGATTCTGTCCAGTTCAGGCTAGGATGTGCATACGACAGCCAGTTAAGTACATAAAGTGAACATACAACTTCAAATCACACTATATTTCAACAAATATATGAAGGATGAAGTAGATCCCATCCTGCCTTAAACGCCTGCTAGCTAAAAAAAGGTGAATGATGGCAGCATAACACTATTACTAAAACCATCCTCAGAGCCCCTTGTTAATAATGGATTCCTAGGATACATCAATAACAGCAACATAAGCACCAAGGTATTTTGACATGACGTTTGCCCTTGGAGGACAAACTTAAACCATCCCACATAAATAGCTTGGCAACCCATAAAATGCCAGAGCCTTCACCATGATTACACCAAATGTGCCACGGGGTGCCTCAGACGCGAAGAGTAATGAGAGTCGGAAGAAAGAGGAACGACGGTCTTTGGTTACCGGCGAGTGACGGTCTTGGCTAACAGCGTGACCTGTAACTCAGCAGATGGTAATCCCCAGGTGAGTCCCAGGCGACTCTGTGACCCCTCCCGAGCCCCCGGCACCCCCTCGAGCCGAGCAGACCCCACGACACAGCGTTCGTGGGAGGGCTGAGGCGCCGGGCCCGTACGAGTGGCGCTGGGGTCACCGCCCAGCTCCCGGCTGCTCTTCCACCACGGCCTCCCCCCTGCGCTCTAAGTTCTGCAGTGTCGGCCTTCACTTCGGTGGAGATGACAGCGGTGGGAAGAACGACTGCACAGGAAGGAAAAGGGAAAACTCTCTGGCGTTCCTAGGCGCTCCCTACGCCCCAGCGCAGCCCTCACTCCCCCAGATGGACACGGCGCCGGGCCACGAGGAGACACAGCAAAGCTCTGCCTCCGAGACACAGCTTGGGGAGAAACTAGACAAAAAGTTTCAGTCCCGTTTTAGCAAGAAATAATCAGGATGACAACAACAAAATAAAGCAGGTAGCCGGCGCTGCACTGGCTTTTGCCTGCACTGATTGGCAAAGGCAGCGAGCAAAGCCTCAAACCAGCTCTTTGACAAGGCCTAACGCCTCCCCGGCACCCCCGTGTAATTACACACTTGAGTGACTGGACTCTGAAGAAAATTGAAGGCCTGAGCTGCGAACAGCTGCCATTTTCTCTCTCCATCACGCCAGCATGATTACTTGAGAAATGAACAGCCCCGGCTCAAAGCTACTCCAGAATTCTCAGAGGAAATATGGCTCCGTGTTCAAATAATGAGATTCTTAAGGCAAGCGTTACTTACAATCACACCACACACCAAAAAGGGAAAGGGGAAAAAAAAAAGGGGGGGGGGAGGGAGGAGAGAGACATATAGTATTGTAATTAGCCTTTTAAAATGCAGAGTACCTAACTCTAGTCTGAAAACCATGTGGTAGCATTCATCCTGCCTTGAGGAAGGTGGACATTCATTCTGCCTCAAAGCATTATGTGGGACAAGGATTTTTTGAGGCATTTTATGAAAAAAAGAGACAGGACTCAACTGTTGGGTTTTAATTATTTTTCTTGGGAATGTAATTTACTGGGAGTTTTACCCATTAGAGTGGGAGTGAAGTTAATGAGAACTGAGATTTTTTTTTATGGAGTAACAAAGCAGAAGAACAGGAGAAGGTCCTCGCATGGGGATTTATTTGTCTTGGTAGGATGAAATCTATGTCTGTCCAAGATGGATCCTGACCCCAGGAGTTCCCCCATCCCTCTGCAAGGCCCTGGAGAGCCACACACCATCCCAAGGGTCAGAGGCCTGCACTGGAGTGACCAGATTTGTGCTGAGGTACTGGGTCCTAGACAGATCCCATCACGCAGCCCCGAGCACAGCTGGTCTGAAAGCACCGCTGCAGACCCAAGATAAGATTTCCTGAGACTAAAACCAGGAAAAAACGAAGACAGCCACTGCCAAACCTACAAGACCAAACCATGGCTCATTAAGGACCTCCATACGGGCTGGTTAACGCCATTCACTACCAGGAAGTCACCCTCATTAGTAATGAAAGACCAGAAAAATGTTATTACAGTATTATTACCACCAAAAAAAAAAAAAAATCTGTTTTTTATGCTGGTAGCATATTGCTTTGCTTCCCAAGCAACTCCAGTCTGAGTACCATGAGCTATATAAAGACAGGATCGCCTTGAGACCTCTGAAGATGAAGCAGCAAACTAAACCAAACACAAAGTTGCAGCCCAGTGTCTGAAAGTTAGCCTCCAGCATCCGCCCAAGGTAAGAGTTAAGCCTCCATTCTTCTCTCCCCACATAATTAGCCTTCATTGCAGTCTGACAGGCAATCAATGCAGGCCAGGCATGAACCCGAAGGTGCACAGACACCGAGCTGAGCGGTACGTTCTGGTCTCCTCTCACGCGTGGCTTACATGTCCTAAGAACACATGAAGAAACACCACCCTGCTGCCACTGCTGCTGTAGCTAAGACTTGCAGCTTTAAAGATGAGAGCTGCTAATTTAGTACCTTTCAAAGCATCAAACATACAACTACAAGAAGAAGGAAACTTCTAGAGCACCAATAGACAACTTACAATGAGCATCGTAACAAGCAGGTTCTTCTTGGTGACCTGAGCATGTGAGAAGATGTAGTTCAACACAGCATTCATATCACTTTTATTCTCTTCCCGAAGGGTAAAGACGCACTTGTCATAGTGACCTGCAATCAGAAATGCACATTTTTTTCCAGTCTCCGCACCTCTGTGGCATAGGATAAAAGTTACTAGATGTGTCTTTATTTTTCTACGTACATGTTTTGAGAATCTGCTTTGCACGGTCCACACAACCAGTTCTGGGAAGGAAACGTTCCTCCCACCACCACACCCTCAACTGCAAACTTTAATAATTTAAACATCCCACTCTTAAAACAGCTCCAACACCAAATCCCTCCTTTGTGAGCAATATGAAGAGAGGAACGGTGAGCTCAGTCTTCCATTCAAATGACAACCAAAATAAAGTAATAGCAAAAGACTTCCACCATCCTCTACTACCAGCAAATCGCAGTGGGAATGAATCTGCAGTGCCATTAGGCTGCTGCAGGTACTGGAGCAGGACAGAAGAAAAGTAGAACAGAATCTGAACTACCTGTAAGAGTTAGAGCCTCAAAATTAGCTAGTGCTCCATTGCCATCTTGTGCCTGGATACAGCAGTGCAATGCATTTATTTCAATTCTGAGTTTCAGCGTTGAGGTTTGTTCTAAGAACAGCAAACAGCTTCCTGGTGTTTTACAGCTGGTGCAAATAATTCAGTGACTTTTTTTTTTTTTTTTTTTTTTTTTTTAAACTACACTTGATTTTCTTACTACAGAATTTCATAACAGGCAAGATAGAACTAAACAGTTTGGTGAATTTACAGTTTTTCTGATTCTGTTTTTCTGCAGATGCTCAGAAATTGGGAAATAAAAATCAAGCTTCTAATATGAAGCTTCTACACATGGAATACCTGAGTGGGGGAACTCTGCTGTGGTGGGCTGCTGCTGAAAGGGGCAGTGAGGGAACCCAAAGGAGAACTGCTTTCATCTCTGATCTAAACCAAGCAGAGACCACAGACTGGCTGAGCCTCAGCAGCCCAGTATCAGACTAGAAAGGGCAACACGAAGAAATCTTTTTACTCCAGGTCATAGAAAAGTCCTCACTTAGAGGATCACGAACTCACACAGGAGCTATTCTTTGAAGGTTTACAGGGAAAAGGAGCATTCCTACACCAAAAAGAGACCAGTCACATTACAACATGTAAACTGTGGTAAAATGACACGGGATGTAAAAGATGATGGATATACCGACAGTGAAAAACCAGCCGAACAGACAGCTTTGGGGTGGAGTTTGTCGTTTGCTTGTCATAAGCATTACAAGCACTCTTACCACAAAAACTCAAACTGGACATAAGCTCCTCTACAAAAAACACGATGTGACTGGCAGACCTTTGAAAGAAAACCCATGTAGCTCAGTCTCACCATGAAGTTAGAGCAATCTTGAAGGGGATCTTCTGGCATCAAATGTGGTTCTTTCAGAAACCAACTCCTTGATGTGCGTTGACACTCACCATGCTGAAACTGAGTCTCCACCTTCAGATACTGACGGAGCAGATCCATCACCACTGCTTTCATGTGACCCCGAATACCACTCCGGTACCTGCAGAAGCAAGTCAGTCAAGCCTAGCACTGAGTGAGCCTCACACAGCCCTGCTCCTGAAGACCTGTGAGTGAGGAACACTCAACACGAGTGGCAGAATAAGCCTGTCTGCTTAGGGAAAGAAGTGGTTCTGAAAACCGCAGTTGTTATTGGAATACATAACCCCTGCCATTACTGTTGTGGGGTAGCACGGCTCATGTTTTGCATTACAATGTCCCTTTTTCTTCTAAAAATACCCAAAACTCTAGACATTGAAAGGTTTAACAGCAGCTTGGTGAAATGGCCAAGACGTGATCAGTGTCAGAAGTTAAATCTTTCTTTCATATGGCAATGGGAAAAAGAGGAAGGATCTGTATGTGTGCTTCCCCCAGGCAGCCAGGAGCCACAGGCACATGGCCCCCTCACTCTTAACCTCCCTGAGGGAAGAATGCAGGCTTATGCCTGGTGATTTACACTCTGCGTGTAATAAAACCATTTGAGTAAAGACAAGCACACTCAGGTCTTTCAAGCAGCAGGAAAAAACCAAAAAGTCAGGGGGCACCTCTGAAAATGGCTCACCTCTGTACAAGCTGCACAATGCTCTGGGTGTTCATGAAGAAGACCTCACGCTCTGATTTGCGGTTCAGGGTGGCTGCGTGGCTGTCCAAGATATTGGCAATCTGAAAGAGAGAAATCACGTAGCAGTCCCAGTTCTGGATGGGAGGATCTGGCTGAACAACCAGCAGAGAAGCTGAGAACTTCCAGACAGACCAGAGCAGAGCTCCAGCAGACTCCAGCAAAGGCCAAAGCTTTAAACTGCTGAGGAAGTTAATGACCTGACAGTGATGTAAAAATCAATGCACAATATCATATACTGGAGAAATCATCTTCCAGCATCTCATTACCTGATCAGGTCTCCCTTCGTTGCAATCGCTCTTTTTTAAGGTTACGTTGACACTACAGATTGCAATGCAGCATATGTACCAGGCAAAAAGAAAATAAATATGATTAAACTGCTTCCAAACTGCCTGTTTAAAGCTATACTGAGCAGGGAACACATACCCTTCAGCCCCAGTAAAGGAGGTCAGCCTTTAAGCTCCAGTGATACAGGTAAGTGTCTTTCATCACGAAGACTACATGTTCAAATGCACCTTTTAGGTCCAACCAGCCTCCAGATAATTTAAAGGAACTTTCTCTCTGCCCCAACACAAACCAGTTTTTGTTCCTATATCTAAGTGTGGCTGATCACCTGTTGGCTGGGAAACTGGCAGAGGACTGACGTGATGTTGCTGGCATACTGGGCCATCTCCTTCTTGATGGACTTCTCTACATTGGGTGGGATCCGTCCAGAAACACTGGTCATGATGTCCTGAAGCTCCAGCAGAGGCAAAGATGGATCTCTCAGAGTCTTCATCAGTCGCTCAACCCAGCCTTTCACCTAGAGACAAGCCAGTGTAAAGACAAGCATGAAGCAAAGAGTAAGCAGTAAGAAGGGAGAACGGGAAAGGCTTTTCATGGAGGTCGTCTTCAACACTCTTATCACACAGCTAGTCGAGGGACTAAAAGAGAGAACTGGGGTAGATGACAAAGCTGCTGTTACACCAACAGCTGACTCAGATTCATCCACCCTCTTTCCTCCTCCCTCCAGGACGTCTACCACAGCTGGCTACGCACACAGCTCCCACGTACGAGGCTGTGGGCACAAGCAGTAAAGACTGAGCTCAACTCCTTGTCTGTCTTTGTTTTGGGTACCACAGATGGGACTCTGCCACCTGCCTCTCTGGCAAGACCAACGATAAAGTCACCTAAGAAAGCCAAATCGAGCTGGCACTAACAGGGTAGTACTGCCCTGGCCCTTGGTCCTCTGGCTGTGACACGTGAATCGGGCAGCCTTACCTTGAACTGAAAGGATACTTGTGCTCTCGCTCTGAAACAAGTACTAACGAGTACCTTGTTGCTGAAGTAGGGCTCTGGCAGGCAGAATCCATTCATCACATTGACCAGGTTATCTAGGACATAATGGAAGATGCGATGGAGCTTCTCGCCTCGAAGCGCTGTGCTCTGGATCTGCGGCAAGGTCCCCGTGTGCAGCTCAGCCTGGGAACACAACGAAGAGCACAGTGTCACTGACCTCCTGCACGGCATCAGCCATGGTGGTAACATCCAGCTACCCTCGACTGCAGGCTCAGATTTAACTTGGAAGAAGTCCCAGAGTGGAAAATGCACTTGGTTGAGAGAGAAAAGTTATAAGCTCGATCTGCAACAGTTCCATGTCATCTACACCCACAAAATAAGCTTCCAGCCTCTCTCCCAAATATGTTACAGTTGATCTCATTGTTTAGATCCCGGATGACCAAAAATCTCAAAGAAAAGCACAGGAAAAGCCAACAGTGTGGTGCTGACAATCATTTCCCTATGTGACAACCTCCCAAATTTTCAACTAGCTATTGCTAAAGGAACAATAGATTCTCTTCCACCACCACCAGCTACATTCCAGCCTGCCATCCCCAAATTAATGTATCTCTTTCCCTTTCACCTTAAAAGATTCACATTCTAGGCCCTTTTTTTTTTTAATTTCCAGATTTGCTGCAATTGCTTTCACAGGGCCTGACACTCTTGGAGGTGGGATATCAACTCCCATCCTCCCAAAGAGGGTCACTTAAAGAAGAATACATGACAAAAAGAAGTTAAACTTGCACAGGAACAAACCAGACAAAAAAAACCTGGCCAACCTCCAATATCCTACACAGCCACGTACCCAAAATAGTACCAAGGTAGGAATAGAGCAGGAATGGCACCTAAGCTTAGCCCAAGTCAGAGAAAGAGACAATAATCGGCGTCCTAGTCCTCATCTGAGACAAATAAATGGTAAAGTGACAATTCCAGTACAGTGCACAAATCTGAAATCGGTTCAGTACACTGGACCACCTTGTACCGCTCTCAACATCACTCCCCGATTAAAAACACAACAAACATCTGCGCTTCCTGCAACTTCTCACCTGCTGAACCCTGCTGGGATCATCCAGCTGGAGCTTGGCAATCACACAGCCTGGATCCAACACTGCCCCTGGGCGTTTGACATAATGGATGCAGCCCGATTCTCCTGCTGTTAGTGTCATCACCATTTTCATCACCTGTAGCAAGGAAAACAGGTTACACACTCAGCTTCCACGTTCCCCAAATGGTTCTAGTTCTGTGAGCCAGCAGCCAATGGCCTACCGCAGACAAACTAACCTGCACGAGCACCTCCTGCGTTCAGGCTTTCTCAAAAGCACACACATTGGAAACAAACCCCGGACACGGAAGTGAATGGTAGAACTAAATAACTGGCCACAAGTTAGCGCAGCCAGAAGCCATCCTCAGGAACAGCACCCGTTCCACACTGCTTGGGCCAACAGGCACTCAAGAAGGTCCCACGTTCAAGACAACAAACAAAGCAGATACAATTTACTCCCGCAGCTGCTCTACTCTAAAGGCTGGAAGTGAGAGCACCACTCCCAAAAGTTCCAGAAACACATTTCGCAGAGGGAACTAGGATTACTTTCTAGAGGCCACAGACTGCTCTTCCCAAACAAAGACGCTTCCTTAGATCAGCCATGGAAGCTCCTGCCTTTGGAGCACAAGGGCTGGGTATGGGGGGAGACAGTCTATGGTTTTGCCATTGCTACACCACACACAACTGGGAACACAGGAACTGAGTAGGTGGTTCCTTCTGAGCCATGGTTCTGTTGCAGTGTAAAAGCACTTACACAAAACATCTGGATCACTGGCTTGATACCTTTCTCCTACACGTTGTCCCCACGTGGTTTAATTGTCCCTCTGTTAACACACACCCTCCCCTCCCTCCAATCTGTTTTGAGCTGTGCACTCCTACACAACCTCTCGTGCTTTCCTCACAGTGATGCAGAAATTGTTCATCCTCCTCCTCTCTAAGAGTTAAGTAACTTCCAAAGGAGAAGGGAGGAGTGACACTTATTAACTCATCTGATCAACCTGATAAATGATCAGGTAATCAGAGAAGTCTTAATTTGTTACTTAATCCTAGCACATAACTCTGCTTCTGAGTCTGTTGTTAGCACTAGGTAGTGATCTACAAGCAGGAAGCCTTCTTCACCACAGCTGGAAAACACAGTACACAGCAGGGTGATAACCAACCATCTCACTGCTGAGGAACTGTGCTTATCACTTGGTATACAGTCAGCAACACTCAAACTTCAGCTGTTAAGTCATTTCTTCCCCACCCCATCACTCTCACTGCTGACTCCTGCATTAGTCCAGATTAAAACACAGACAAAATTTGGAAAAGAAACACTTAATTCCCAGTTCCAAAGCATTCAACTTTTTTTTTTTCAGATTCAGCACCTGCAGCCAAGTCAGTTCTCTGAAACTCTTTTACCTCTATTTCTGCAAAGCACTGGCCTGCAAACACGTGTCCCCCATCCTCCACCACATACTGGATGAGCTTCCCAGCCGAAGGTGAGCGCAGAATGGAGGGATCATTCTCCTTTTCAAACACACAGGTCTTGTTACCGATAGTGATGCGATACCTAGGAAAGACCAGGATGAATCACTGCAACAGAATTTCTTGTGGAAAGCATGGCAAGGGGAAAATCCATTCGCTCTTTCCACATTCTACTTCAAAACAAACCCAGAGGAAAAAACCTCGACCACCTCTTCTGAGCTGAACGGTACGGCCCTGCATATGAAAGTTCAGATTAATCCTCCCAAATCAGGACTATGGAAGCCAGGGATCAGAAACCACATAGATCAGCCCTTAGCAAAGTCGTATGTATGTTACTTCTGTGCTTCCTCTCCACCAACAGGTATCACTCACTGTCAGAACCAGCACCAACAAAGGTCAAGATTTCATATAAATAAAAATTGCTATTAGTGAAGCTTAGACGTGCCATACATAACACACAACACATTCACCAAACCGCCTGCCTCATGCAAAACCCTCTTGTATACAGAGAAAAGCTGAAAAGAGCAGGATGCACCCATGTAGCAGACTGAGATGTTGAAATTTTATAGCATTTTCCAACCCAGAAAGTTACCCAAACTCTTTGTACTCCTGACCACATTCCTTACATTTGTAACAGAAAAGAAACCAGCAGAGGGGGCAGTGGTTCACATTCCAGAAGCTGGAGATTTATAGGTTTTAGGGCTACAATCCCTGCAGGGAATTTAAGGCAGCTGAGGATTTTCAAGGATTTAAAAGTTTTTCATGTTCTGTTTTCTGTTGTGCTGGGTTTTTTTGGTTTGTTTTTTTTTTTTTATAATCCAAAAGGGCACTTCTAAAGAGCTGGCAGGAGCACATGGACTCCACGTGGGTACACATTCAGATCTCTCCTCCAACAGTAGCCAAGATCTGCTCCTCAGGTGAAAGCAACTTCTCCCTTTAAACTCATCCACAATACATAGAGTAACCTCTTCGTAGAAGAGAATTTCATTCCAAACTGATCTTTGGGAAACATAAAGATACAAGTTCACCTAATTTTGGATTGCATGTAAATGTTGAACATTAATCTTTACAGGTTGCTACCTGTCCACTTCTTCTTTCATGTAGGTAGTATAGCTGCTTCCATCATAAGACAGGAGCAGCCCCCCGTCGCTCAGCCGGTGCACATCAACTTCCACACACGAGCTGTTCATGATGACCACATAGGAGTTGGGGGACTGCCGGGTCACCTGCAGATCCACAAGTATCACAAGAAATAAACCCAGCCTGGAGAGCACAACATACACAGTTTTCCAAGCACTGCAACAGTGGGAATTAAAGAAGGGGAAGAGAATCATGTGTTCTCATGTTAGATGAAAAAAAAAAAAACAATGTAAAAAAAAAAATTGGGATCACAAAACCAAGTATTTAGCAGTCAAGAGATGTCAGGACTAATGCTGTCCATGAATCTTGATTTAATCCTCTCACACTTATGCATTAATTGCATAGGTTTGATTATGCAATCATACACCATTTCTTCACTCCGATCTACGTACAAGTCACGGTCGTGTACTAAAATTGCATAATGAAGGAGATAAATTTGAAAAAAAAAAAAAAAAATTGTCTCCCAGAGAAAGCAGCTAAATCTCTCCCTGGAAAAAGAGATCCTATTGCAGTCTCTGCCACAGAGCTCCTATCTGAAGCTGGGTAGATCACTTAAAGCATACTTTAGCTGCTCTTCAGTGCCTCTATATCTCTCATTAAAGGATTAAAGGTTGCCAAGATAAAATCAGAGAGGTGCAGGGGTGCACAGTACTTAGAGCTGCAAAAACCCATGTATGGTCGCGTCATTAAAAACTTCACCAAAATCAATTTGCCCGGAGAAGCTATTTAAGATTGCACAGGCAGTCTTAAGTCTAATATTTCCTAACTTTTGCATGCTTGGTTTTGCAACCTTTAAACAGTATTTCTAACACTGTTTTGTGCACACAGCAAAGAAAAAGCAATACTAAAGGGAAAAACTGCTACAAATTCTGTCATGCTGATAAAATTGGGCTCAAACACCCAACAGAGTGGATCTACACATTCAAAAACATCAGTTGAAAGTTTTGGGAAACCATCAGTAGTCTTTGCCTGTAACAAAGTATTCCTCACCCTATGCAGAGCAGTTCTTGACCCCAAAATGTTCAAATATTTAGAGATACACAGATATTACAATGGGGAGATGTGATGGGGTATTATTCTAAGGGAGACTGTACCGATTTCTTAACCCCGCTAAAGCAAAGAAAATAAACCCTGCACAGATTTAACTCCAATAATTACATGTATTAAAAAGATTAAGCCAGGGCAGCACACAAACAAACATTTCCAACTAGAAGTGGCAAGCAGGTGGGTTTCCACGCTGCGCATCGTACCTTCAGCACGTACTTCCGTCCTTCATAGATGAGCTCCACATCCACAGTGTTTAGCAGAGTATGAGCAGGCAGGACCTGGCCCCTTGAAAGAGAAATACAAAACAAAACTGGTCTTCCAGAAGCTACCAAACGGTTATGAGGGGCCCAAGCAGGTCCAAAGACGCACGCAAGAAATTGGAGAACACTAGCAGAGAGACGGGAGTGGGCTTTTAAAGCGCCTCTTCTTAGGAGAGACACGTGTCAGTTTGACAAAACCAGCCCCAGAGCCCAGCTTTACTCGCCATTCACCCACTTTTTGCCTTGGAGAAGAGTTTGCAAAAGGAACGTCACAGCCTGAATTACAGAACGTGTAGCATGACTTAACAGAGGGATAAAGCAGCTTTTCCCCGTGCAGCTCTGTTTACGTATGGACTCACCAACAAGACCCTGAGGCAAAGAACTCTGCTAAGAGCAGACCTGCCTGGATCACACCAGGTTTAGCCTGACAGAGCGTTATGACTAGTTTCCCTACAGCGTCCACTCTGCTTTAAAGCCAGCAGGCGCAGAGAGGGTTTTCTAAGTACTAGTGGGAAACATTCAGTTTGGAAAATCATGTCAAATCTGGAAAATGAAATCAATCCTCAAAACAGGAGGAAGACAATATCTGGTGATTCAAGACTCCCTAACGTTGCCCTAGCACAACACAGAGAAAGAACTCCACATTTCTGAACCATTTCTTGGAGCTCCTGCAGCACTGCCAGAAACCAAACCAACCTACACAACCAGCAGGGGGGATTCTGGGGAGATGTGCACAGGTATCTGCCAGTTTTCTTAGGCCTGTAGATAAACAGCTTCCTGGGGCCAGAGAACAGTGAGCAGATAACAAGCTCTGTGTTTTTCTGGACTGGACTGGACTTGAACAAAACTTGTAAATCAAAACTAATTACTATCTGATCAGCCACCTACCAGAGCAGCTTGTAATTTTACCTTTCCAGAGAGTGCAGGAAGTTTGAGACACTGTTTCGGAAGCTCACATCAGCCACGTGCAGAGCTCCACACACCACTCCCAGCATGGTATCAGGCCTTTCTGCCTGGAAGTAAAGGGTACATAACACAGTTACATCTCCTTCAGCTTCAGTCCATCCTGGACACCCGCCTGAACAATCAACAGGCTCAGATCTATTTCTGGTTCATGGCCAGTCTCTCTTTAAAATTAAGTTGGTGTAGCATCCATGCAAATGCTATATAGAAACAACTACCTTTGTAACTCCTTTAGATAAAACCACATTTTTTTCCTTCCTGGATCAAATCTTGAGGCTCCACCTACATTTCCACCATCATCTTGTCCCAAACTGCACACCAAAATCCTAGCCTAAATTCACACCTACACTAAAATGCTCTTCTGGACAACTTTCAGACCACCTTTCCTTGACAAGGATGACTTGGGATTTTGACATAAATAAGAATTAAGGCCAGCGAAAATTCATAAAGTAGTAAGTGAAAACTAACCCCTCGTAAATCCTTGTCCTCTTGCAACCAGCAGGCACCAAGCCTGCCCCCCAGCCCTTCCCCTCCCCACTCCGATCTGGAGTCCTGTAAAGCAAAGCAGCTGCACCTGAACTTTCTCAGCAATGAGCCGATCCAACCAGCCAGTGTCAATGCGGTTCTGCTGGAAGCTTTCTGTTTCCAACAGTTTAATCAAGTACTCAACAGTGGTTCGGAAATCCCCTCGGATGGACAGCTCCTTCAAAGCCACCACCATGTTTCTGGAAGAGAGAAGAATACCTATTACCTAAGCCATACTAACAGCAGTGTGGAGGCTGGTACCTCTAGAGAGTTCCCCACGAGCTGCTGGGAAAAAAATAGTCTGAAGGTAACAGCAGAAGCACACGTGCACTGAAGCAAGATCCTATATGGTGTGCGTGGGAATGAAAGAATATTGATTTTCTTTAGTCTGCTGCTGGTGTGAACAAGAGTAGCTCAGCCAGCACCAGTCACAAGACCAGGAGCTCCCACTGGTACCACCATCTAGGCACCTACCACAGGTCAGAAGTATTCATCAGACAGTTGTGGTCTCCATCCCACCATAACAGAACACAGGGAAGGCTCTGGATGAAAACGGCACGGATAGGTCACACACTCCTGTCCTATGACCCCATGCTTTAATGCTCCACACCGCATGAGGACACTCAATGGCTTCTAAACTATTCTAAGGCATCAGCATAACAAGTTATCCATGTTTTTCCTGTTAGAAGCCTTCCACAGAGGGATACCCCATCAACAGGTATACAAGGCAGGAATGAAACAGAGGAAAAAAATAAAAGTGAGCAAGAACTGTAGAAATGTAGGTGCAACACAGTGGAATTGCAAAGCAAGTCAGGATGAGAAGCCTGACCAGGATGTGGAAAACAAGGTAAAGAGAAGGAAACTTCTCTTAAAACTCCTAGAAGTAAGGAGTCTTGTTTCATCCATGGCACTTTGGATCAAAGACGACAAAACTAAGCGATTTCCAAGGTTCTACCACTTTTCTGACTACTTACGAGATGGCTTCTTCACGATTTTCTCCCCAAGAGAAGCAGTGACCAAACTGAGAATCAGCAAATTCATGAAGCCCTCCTGCAGCAGCAACACTGAAATAGCCCCAGACATTCTTATTGCTGCGGAAATTCAGCTCCTGAACTGTACCAGAACTGGGCTTAAATCCCTGTAAAGACAGACAGACATTGCTATACATCCTAAAGAAAAAGTAAATAATCCAGAATTAGGGAAGTAATTAAGAGTTCTGAAGGCTAGAGCACCTCTTTGTGATGAAACATGACAAGACACACAGATAAGTTCAAGCTAATCGGAGTCTACAGAGCCATCAGCAAAGTGAAATAAGGGAAGAATATTTTAAATTTGCTGCCAAAATTTTCAGGAGCAGCAGCAGGGATTGAACCTAGGTGTAAAGCTTAGGGTTATCAGTGTGATCAGTAACTACAGAATTTAAAACACACACCTCATCAGGATTCTCACTGGTGATACGTGCAGCGATGACGTGGCCACGGGGACAGGGGACATGGGCCGAATTCTCAAAATCAATCGAGGCATCTCCCCATGGAGAAACACCATACATCACTCGGATATCCTTGATCCTGTGGAGGGGAATCCCCATGGCAATCTAAGGAAAATAAAGAAAAAAGAAGCTACAGCTAAGTAAGTTTCTGTCCTCACAGAGAATACTTCTTCCTTAAGAATTAATTCCACCAATTCCCTGCTGAAGCTGATGCTGCAGGCCTAGTACAGCAAACATGCATGCCTGTTTTCTGATGTGAGCCTCCTCCATCCACACATCTTGGAACATCCGTATTTCTCAGGACAGCTGAGCTCAGTCTAATATCCACCTTAAGCCCTTCAGCCAGTATTTTCCATTGACTGATTAAAAGGCTCCGGAGAAAGCTGGCCAGTGCTAGGTCAGCTGAGGCTGGGCACGCATTAGGCCTGTTAAAAATACACTAGAGAGACAGAAGACCTTTAATGGGTTATAGGAAACTGTGGAATTTTGCAACTATAAACGGCAAAGAGAGCAACCTGCAGAACTGGCTGCTGATAAAGTCAAGTCCCACTTGTTCTGTTCATTAGCCGGGATATATATTTTTTTTTTACAGCTACAGTTCAAAAAGGCTGAGCTTTAGCTTAACCATTTATTTCAGCTGTGTATTAGCCAGACACCAACAGACACAAAAGACCAAACTGGTTAAACACCAATGTGCCATTCTATGAAATTGTATCTAACATCAGCAATATGAAGAACAGTGCCCAGATGATGAGGAAAGCATCTGGCCAGTTACGAAATTCTCAATGCCTGACAAATACAGCCACAGGGCTGCTGGAACCACCTGCCGAGAGGAGGCTCGGGCTGAGGCCAAACAGCCTCCCGACAAAATGAAGATGAGCAGCCTACAAGACACTACAGTTCAACTGTTTATTTCCTCTACCATCCATCCAATGAACTCCAGAATGCAGACGGGAGGGAGAAGAAAGAAACTAGAAAGTGAGCAAGAGGGTAAAGAATGGGAGAGCTGAGAAAATGGAAGTAGAAAAGCACTTAGAGCCCTTAATGTGGTGTAAGAGGGAAAGAGGACTGCAGCATTCATCCACTGGTGGAAAAGATGAGAGCTGAGGAGGGAGATCATGTGGCAGCACACAGGGAGCTCGGGGGGGATGCACAAGGGACAGATGAGCCACAACATATGCAACAAACGCTCTCTACAGGATCTGTGACAGATTCCCTCATTACCTTGGGCATCAGAACAACAAAAAGCCTACTCATTCACGTAAGCCATAACTGTCACCCACTGTCATGACTTCCCCTTGAAAAAACAATAAATCAAGACAAATTCTTGGTCACTTTGCCACATCTATTCAAGTACCTAATTATTAGGTACAAATCCTGTTTTGACAAAAAGCTACAGAGCAGGGACCTCAGCCAGCAGGAAGCATCTGCCATGAGTGAGGGGCTCAGAGAGGTGGAAACAATTGCTCTGGAAGTCAGGAACTGCTCATCAAAATTAAAAAGACCAAGTCACGTTCCTGCTGAACTTGCTGAAAGACAAAAAAATCCAATTATCTGTTCTTTTTTCCAACCTTTTGTCATTAGAAACTCTGGGAAGAGGCTGTCGGCCCTTGGAGGAGGAGTGGATGATGCACACTGCTCAAAACTGGCACAGCACTGGAGTGCACTGCTAGCCTCAGAAGCCAACTTGTTTCACAAAATAATTTCAGAGCTTTAAGCTGAACTACTCATATTTTTTTTTTTTTTTTTTTAACACACAACTTTCCTTAAATCAGTTTTCCTACCACTCTGTTTTACTCCTCTATTGCTTCCCTTCACACTGCTTTTACCAGACGGTCTACCTGAGCAGTCCAGGAGAAACAACTAGAATATAACCTCTCCGCTTTCCAAATCTGAGCGAGCCAAACGGTAGAGCTGTAACTTAGTGAAAGAGTCATAACAGAAGGGATGAGTATATATTTTGGAATACTGAATGAAGCTTTATTCCAGCTACAGAAGCTAAGTCCCAAAGTGAGAAAGTACCAGAATGGGCCTTTGAGTTACTGGGTATTTCTGCTGAGGAGGAAGTGTGGGGGAGTCATGTATCACCTATCTGCAGGTGAGGATAGAGGCCACGTTTAGTAGAGAGCTCTACTACTTTCTTTATATTCTCTCCCCTATCAGTGCTAACATCTAGCCATCTGCATACCATCAGCATGTGATCCAGTTTTAACACAAAACCCCAGCAGTGACTCAGACAAGAGTCCGCCCCCCTATTTTACCAAGGCCTCAGCAGAACAGGTTTTTCATGCTGGGGCCTCTTCAACACCCCACAGCCCGAGTACTTCTGACAGCCCCCGTGAGCAGCGGGCCTGGGCGCCCGACTCACCTGGAGCTGCGCTGCCGGCAGATTAACGTCAGCGACCATCTCCGTGCAGGGGTGCTCCACTTGCAGGCGGGGGTTCAGCTCCAGAAAGTAGAAACTGCCATCCTGGCTGTACAGGTATTCCACAGTGCCCGCGCTCACATATCCCACCATCTTGGCAAGCTTCACCGCACACTAGGATACAGAAAAGGAGTCTGTGATTTCCAGGACCCATGCTCAGTTCTCTATGCCCTGTTCATCCACCCCAACCACTTCAGACATTTTTGCTGGCATTCTGGAACATTCTGTCACAGGCCTGAGAACTGCTCAAAGAACAGCACACGGCACAAGAGCTTTAATTTCCAGGTTATTTCATTTACACTTTGCAGAAGCAAATATTTATAATACTCAGCATTAGACAATTCATACAAACTCCTGCAATTTGCTTTTAATATGACAATACACACTTCCCTTCTATCTTTGAAGGGAGCTTTACAGCTTTTTGTCAGCACATTATGGACTCAGATTTTGGAAATGTAGAGTGGCCGCCCGCACTAAGCAGTACAAGACACATACACAATGCAAAACTCTTGGCAATGTCAAAAAAAGAAGAAAAAAAAAAATGTCCTGCCTGTTTCTGGAGTCTCACACAGAAAAGAGAACTTGCAGAGCCACCCTCACCTGTTCCATGTGCTCAAACACCACGGAAGTCGCAATAGAAGCAGGTGCTTCCTCGATAATCTTCTGGTGCCTGCGCTGCACGGAGCAGTCCCGGCCGAAGAGAGAGATGGCGTTGCCGTACTGGTCTGCCAGGATCTGCACCTCCAGGTGGCGGGACTGCTTGGCCAGTCTCATCACAAAGATCGGTGAGCCGGGGACTTCAGTCTGAACCTAGAGCAGAGGCAGCACAGACGTTGACAGATCAGTTTTTGTAAATACCTGTCTTAGTCACAATTAGCTAAGTTAATTTTTTTAAGCAAGAAACATCCATAATGCTTCCCCTTTGGCTGAAAATACCCTGTATTTGCTTATAGATCATTGCAGCATCGTTTTTCAATGCTGTCAGCTTTCCTAAATAACCCATAAACTAAAGGCAGCCTCTGTCCCTCAACATTTTTGAGTCACCCTGCAGATGTCCTCCATTACTTGGTTTTATTCAGCATCTCCGACAATGTTTGGACATTTGGCAGCTGTGTTGGAGATGCAGATATACTGACATCCTACCAACATACAGAGCAAAGAAAGCACAGACTCATGATTCAAAGCAGCTAAACAGGCTCTGATACATAATGCAGTCTTTTTCAGTTCTGCAACACTTCCAATAGTGCTCTCCGAATCACCCAACCTGAACTTTTAGAACAAAGCAGCACAAATCAATAGGAAAAGTTACCTGTCTAAATAGATTGGGGAAGTCATCTGCATTGTTAACTTTCCTAATTCCTTTTCCTCCTCCTCCTTCAGAAGCCTTGATCATGACAGGGTAGCCAACCTCTTCAGCAGCCTGATCAAGATAGGCAGAAAAACATGGGTAAGTACAAAAAGGCAAGAGAATCATGTTGAAAAGATCATTATTTCCCTGTTGATTTGTGTCCAAGCTTCCATGTCTGACTATTCAGCAACCAAGACACGAATGGGATAGAAACCAAATATTCCAGTTTGAAAGAGTGCCCATACTTGGAAAAATCAGCAGTGATTTTGTGACTGCAGAGAACTCTAGCCTCTCAAAGTGAACACAAAATCTCTCGTCAGTGCTTCACGCCATTAAATTTACTCACAGTAACGTTTTTGTATAATACAGAAAATCATTAATCTGGGTAACACGGAAAAAAATCATATACTCCACCCCCTCTCTTCACAAAAGAAAACTCCCAAATCCTGTATTGTGCCAGGAATATTTCTTATTCTAGAAATCTTCCTCAAAGAGAAGCTTATCAAAAGATGAAATCAAGTGTGAGATCATGGTCTTTATTAAAACCACCTTCAACCTGCCTTCAACAAAAAACAGAAGAGAGCCCTTAATGAAATACAACTTTGGTCCCATATTCTGTCTCCTTCTCCCAGTTCTCACCTAATTCTGCAGGCTGGGCCCAAAGACGATATGTGAAAGATCACTCTCCGATTTCCAAGGCTCATTTCTGTCTAGTTCTAGTTTGTATTCCCATTAAAAAGAAATTAAACTTCTAGCTCTCTCCAGCTGTGCATGCAGGAAGATCTCAAATAACCCCAAAACACCAGGCACCTACCCGCAGCCCATCATCTGCGTCCTTCACGTAGCCTTTTTCATATAGTTCCTGAGGAACATTCAAGATGCGCTTCTGAAGATCATTTTCCTGCCAGTCCACTCGAAGACCTGAAATATAAGCATTATCTTGTTAGCTCATTTTGCTGCGAGGCTCAGTGAGAACTCACACGTCAGACACTGGTGAAGCTATCCGCAGCCACGGTTCCACAAGGAACTAGTCTGGAAGCATTTACAAACGAGAGAACGCAGGATGTAAACAGAAATTTGTTTTCTGAGCAGCAGATCTTTTCATCCAACAAATTATATACTCCTTCATTCACCTTATGCAATTCTGAGTTATTCACTCTCTGAAACTACTCCATGGGAGCCGAGCATTGGCTGTGTGCTCCAAAAGTACCCACTACACACTCGAAAAGTAGAGACTGCAGGAATACCAGGTATTACAGCCACACTGTTGGACTAACAGAACGTTTTGCAACATGTACATTTTACTCAACGTATCCATATATTTCACAGTCACTATGTCTAAGCCTAACACAAATTTGAAACCCTAAATAGATGGAACACCTCTTGGAACACCTTTTTGTGCACAGACACTCCTTAAAAATTAGATATGTTGAAGAAAAAAAGATGAGAATGATCTTGATAAACACAGGGCAATTTCCTTCTTACCACTGCCACTCCAAGGAAGAGTTGGGATGCCAGCAGTCTGAGCCACTATTGAAGATGCGATTTTATCTCCTAAGGCCCACATCGCTTGGCTCGGAGGACCTGCAAAGAGCAAAACCAATGCATGAGAGAGACACAAGAGATATCAGCCATCAGAGAAACATCCAGAAGTCTAATTTAGGTTCCATGTAAGAGGAATAAATAAACGCTCTTAGGGTTGCTGTATGCCACATCTCAACTGGTATGAATCAACATTTCTGAACCAAAACAGAGAACATTAGCTGTATTGGCCAGAAAACGAAAAGCAAACAGACTAGAGTACTTTTGACCAAGGAGGAGGAAAAGGCCACTGAAAACTACAGCAATGCCACGACAGGCACATCACAATAGTTTGTTAAGTGTCCGTCCTGTTAAAGAAGTCTTGGCACAAGCCCTCCATCTCTTTCCTCAAGCTGGGCCTGCTCTCAAAGGGATGGCAGGTGCCAGTAGCTGGTACTAGGTGTGCACGTCACACCCTACTGCAATAATAATTCAGTGTCATGGTTGTACGTGAAAAGTGGTTTGCATGGGACTGTAGCGTGTGATTGGTAAGAGATTTAAACTGGAATTAAAATACAGCTTTTAAATCCACTCCTCTCCAAATGTCCTAAGCACTTCTGCGGTTATGGCTCAACACACTACAGACAGAAAGACCTGCTGGAAGTCAGAACACGATACAGCTACCCTCAGGCTATGCTCAGGCCGTGACTTTTATCACAAATCCGTCTTTAGTTTTAAACACCGCACGTGTCCAAACCCTTATCCAATATTCAGATCCACGTGGTTCAGGAAACGAGGCTTACTGCCCCAAACACCTCCAGCACTCAGTTAACTTCACTGCTAACCGGATCACAGACTTCGCGTGCTGTCCACGTAAAACAAACACACACCCTTTTAAAATGACAACAGGGACATTCACCTCTGGAAACAACCTGCTTTAACGGGAACCTTTTCTGATTTTGTATCTCACAATATTCAAAGATGTTGTTGGAGAACTTGATGCTTCTCCCACAAAAGAACTATTTCCCAGCACATGTCTAAACCTCATCTCGTTTCATGAGCCTCGATGACTGGGAACCGGTTACACTGCTAGAGAGCAGCGCCCGTTGCTCTGACTACTGTAAAGAACATATCATCAATCCTGCACTTGTAAACCACACCTCGTGGCTCTCCTTTAGACTCAAGATCTTCTGTCTCTTAAAATAAGAACTAGACATTAGATCAGAAGGATATATCCTCACCCATGAAAGCAATTCCATTTTTGTGGAGAAGTTCTGGTAGTTTAGGGTTCTCAGATGCATGGCCCCAGCCAGCCCACACAGCCTACAGAAGAAAATAACATAATTCACTCTTTCTTTCAGAAAAACAAGCAGCTGAGCAGAAATAGCAAGGATGCAGATACTTCAAGTCTTTCTTTCCCTCACTGAAAGCAGCCTCATAACATTCCTAAGCCAGAGCAGCCTCCTGAACTCCATGCTATGTTTAGTTCAAAGGGCTAGTGTCTTGCATCTTGCATAAAAGTCAAAGGCAGCTGCCCCAGCAAGCTGTTAAAGAGGAACTAAGTGCAGACAAGTGAAAGAGTGAAAGGAACCTTCTATCTCCTGCAGATACACTGGGAAATCCACTGCACTGTAACATGCACTGCCTTTTGGTGCTAGTATAGATTTGTAATTTCAATTTCTTTGACTTGTCTTTTTCCCCTGATGCAACTTGTTATTTAAGGAGAGAAGATTGCTTAGTGTTACCTCCTGTTTTCAGAACTATCTTTGACACTCCTCACCTGCACTGGAATCCGCTTAGCAATATCAAGAATGAGTTCCACATTTGCATAGTTGTTGTTGTTCGGTCCTCCCGGAACCGGGACGTAGTGATCTGCCATTTTAATATATTCTGCAAACACAGAGAAGGTCTTATTTAGATTTCAAATTTAATAAATGGTACTTGGTCTAAAACTCCCTAGATCTACAGGACTGGAAGTGCTTAATCTCCTCCCAGAAAAATCTGTTACTTGACAGAATGGTAGGTGATGCAGTGGACATAAATTCAGGCCCTCGCATCCTAGTGTGCCCACAAGGCTGCGCAAGGAGAAGGTTGTGCACCTTCACTTGTCTTTACAACTCACCTGCATTTGCTTTCAGATCCTCAGGAGTCACCATGACAACAAATCTGATTGCCCGCTCATTTCGAAACATCTCATAGGACCAGCGTCGGATGGACCTCATGCATTTCACTGCTGCAATGCCATTATTTGCTATCAGGACCTGAGTATATTAGAAGCAGGGATGAAACAGAGTCCAAACAGCACAAAACACTAAACGATAATGAAAACGAGGTGTTTTTTTTCTCTGCAGACTCTTTGTCCCATTTTGGGGCTGTGCAGTCTCATCAGTCAGCATTCAGTTCAGTAAGAACATTTAATGGCCCATCAGTCAATTTAGATATCGGCTCTTGCCCAACTGTAAAGATTTTAAGGCATTATGCTTTGTTTGGATTAAAGAGCAGAAGGACCCATGAGAACAGACATAATGAGTAGCTAAAACTTTTGATACCTGAAAGGAAGCGACCTCATCTATTAAATAATTATGTATTTTAAAATACATTTCTTGGTGGTTTTCCAGCCTGCTTTTGTTTTATCTGTCTATAAATCCTTTTTTATCAGCAGAACTGCTCTAGCTCACTAAATTTTTTTTTTCCTGTCACACTAAGCTAAAACAATGGGATGTTTATTTATCATATATAAAATAAAATGGAAACAGGATGATTACAGGCAGAAGTAGAACTTTCACGTTCAGGAATATTAATATTTTGATATCTGCAATGTACAGCTCTATAGAGAGAGAAGCCATAGCTCAAGACAAGGGAACAAAATGCAACACGCTAAAGACAAAGAGGTCAGTAACTTACCTTTTCAATAACTTTATTCCCTCCAAAACGAGTGACAAATTCTGCTGGAGAAGCCACAGTGAAATCCCGCTGCACATCAACTTTCTTCCTGTCCCGGCCTTGCTTTACAAGGTGTAAACCAGACATACTGGGCCTAAGGAAATTTGACAGAGAAAAGCAACTTGGCAGTGCAGATGTACACAAATAGAAGAGGATGTGTGAATAAGTTGTAAAGCTCCCCTTGACCAAGTTCCCCAAGTAGACAAGCAGAATCACTCCTTGACTCCAAGACTGCAATGGCCTGGTCCTCAGCTTCTACAGGGATGACTGTTTTTCAACTGCCTTTCAGTTATCTCTCTGCAAAAGCCAGGTTATCTGGAGAAATTCTAGTTAGGCTAATGTATAAAGAGGTAAAAATATGTTCACTGTATACTGCTGCCCAACACAGAACAATAATGCTCCTCCACGTTGCTTTCAATTCATCTAGGAAAGCTGGAAAATGACAACAATGTTTTCTGGCTTTGGTAAAACAAAGTACTAAGATAAGACTCCGTAAGGAAATCCTATTGGGGAACCACAGCAAATAAATCCCCAGGTGCAAACCAGAGATTCTGTGACTGGCTACTTAAAATAATTTTCCAAGAATTTACCACCATCAGGTCTTTAGTATTTTCCCCAAAATTCTGAGAGCTAGAGGACAGATGAGTCACATTACTTCTACTGCCACCAGTGAAAGGCAGTTCTGTGTCTGACAAGATGAGCTCTGTGCTCTGCCATCGTCACCGTGTGGGAATGGGACAGCCGCTTCCCTTTCTTACGCTTCAGCTTCCACAGAACCACCACGTGGGTAAACCACCCTTTGCTTTTGCAAGCACTACAGGATGTGATTTGCTAAAATTTACAAAGCTGAAATTGTGAGGGGGATAGAACTCAATAGAAAAGCAAAGACCTACTCTTCACACCGTGCATCTCCCCTAGGGCAGCATGACTGGGGAAATAAGATGCTTTTTACCTTAAAGCCCCTGAAGCTTTACCTCTTAGGTCACCCCACAGTTCACCCCTTTTTCTCATTTAGCATGCCTTCCTTAACAGGTTCCTTTCCCACGAACACACTGAAGTCCTTACTCCTGCCACCAAGCAGGATTACAGAACCTTTCTGTAGGAAGGAGAGATGAGTATTAGGAAGGTATTTTAAAACCCACCCAATGCTTTGGAAAGACCCAACAGCAACCAAGGGGGTCAGTGTCATGGGAGAAGCCGTTAACGGGCAGCATCTGTCCCCAGCAGCCACGTGGGCCCTGCTGGCTGCCCCTCGGCCATGGGAAACCCGTCAGGAACCTCTGGCCTAATCAGCTGTGGAAGCGCTGCTGCCATTGAGCAACTCCACAGGGAAATGGGATGGGATGTGGCAGAACGCAACTGGAATTGCTGGGAGAGAGCAGGAAGGGGAAAACTAACCCAAGGACAAGGTAAACCACGCACAGCATCCCTTTTATAAACACAGCCACCAAGGTCAGGTAGCCCGAGAGCTGCACGTGGGAGGTTCACTGCCCCGTGTGAGGCTTGAATGAGCTGGCAGAGGGGCTTGGTGACAGCCCGAGAGGAGACACACAGACTCCCCCTCGCCTTCCCTCATAATCACGTTGTGCCTACAAAGATTTACCCATCTGGAACGCAGACACTCCTTAACTCCTTATCAGGAGCACAGTAACACCACACACCAGTATTTTGACTAAAAATTTGCTGATGAAAGAAGCCCTGAACAAACTGTAGCTAGTATCTGGTTTAAAACCAGATTCTTCTCTTACCCATCTCTCCTGTGAACAACCACGGTGCTAATCCAGACTACGCTGGGCTTTGCAGCACACATTAACAAAAAGGATCTTCACTCATATCATCTAGCACAACCTGTTCAAAACAGTATATGCCAAATCCTGGTATAACCAACCAAGAACCAGACTAGAACAAAAGGTGATCTTTCAGGAAAGGCAAGCTTAGTGCCCAGATCTGACCATAAAGACCCGTTTATCGACCACACACAGGATGGAGCGGATCCTTCCCTTCCTCTCCGCCTTCACACACACCATCTACTTTGGCCATGACATCTTACTGTGGTGCAACCCTGACTTTGTGAGGGTTTCCAGAACAGCACCTGAAAGTCTGACCCTGTGCTCTGCATTAACACATTGATCTTCCTCTCCCACAGGTGAGATATTCCCATGACAAACAGCCATGCTGGTGGAGAACTTCAAGATTAGGACTTGCAAATGTTGAGCTTAACTAGGAAGGGAAAACCTGTTCTAAGCAGAGTGAAAGAGACTTTGAAGCAGTCCCTGAAGCCAACAGTGGGAGAAGTAAAGGTAAGAGGAACAACAACAGAGTGATTTTAAAGCCTGCTAAAACAACAGACGCTTTTCTCCCAGCGTATTTCAGGATGTATAAATGGCTGCACTAGGTCAGACCAAAGAACATCCAGCCCAGTAACTTGTCCCAAAGAAGAGCTGCGAGCTGATATCCAGAGAAGGGCATAAGCACAAGTTGTGTGTGCAGAGGTTCTTTCCCTGTGCACTTTCCCTTCTTCCAGCCAGCCACACTTCCAGAGATAGACACTGTCACTGAACTTAAAACTCGTCCCCACGAGCACGAGTTCACAAACTGCTCTCTGATAATCTCAGCCCAGGAATTCAAGGACAGGAGCCAACAGGCAAGAAAAAGAGGAAAGGTGTAGTTAAGGTTGAACTTCTGCTAAATTTCTGCATTTAATGAGGGTCAGAATCTATGGCATGGCAAGGAAAAAGCACAGTCCAACAAAGTGAGACAAGTTATTCGTGGCAGGTTTATTGAAAGCAGTCTCAACAAAAATAGAAAAAAGATAAAAATCTTGGGGTCAGAATCTGTGAACGCATATGAATATGAACGATCCTGCCAAGTTTAAATTACTACACACATAAAGATACTGCTACAGATAAAATGTCAACAGAACCAGAGGTTCATCATGTGGAATAATACACAAACAGTTGTTTATCAGCAAGTATAGTTCAGTTTAATTTATGAAAGTAAGCATACCAAGAACGTTAAGTTGATTTACTAATAACCACAGGCTGCACATTATAATCAAAACAGGAGATTTTTTTTTGTTTGTTTTTGCAGAGTAAGATGAGGAAGAAGTCGGGCAGCAAGGAAAAACACTGAGCTCTAAACAAAACAAAATAAATGCTGAGTTAGTACCAGTCATGCCCATTAATCACCAGGTCACAACTGCAGTGTGCAAAGTGTCACAGCTTTCAGAACGCCCGTCTATCCCTCAGAGTTTACAGAGGTTAGAAGCTGCACAGAATCTCAAACTTTTTTAACACTGATTCCCCACCTAAGACGTATTCTAGCATCTTTCTTATGGACTGCATGCACAGATCACTCACAGTAACTGGTGAGGTTTCAGAGAATAAAATTAACATGCAAAAATATCAGTATGCGTTTCCAGGACAATGTGCCCAACTGCCTCAGTCCAAAACAGCTGCTGCCATCAGGAGACAATCAGATCTGTAATTCTTACCTTTGCAGCATGTGATACCTCATTTCCTGACTCTGCTCTGCAGAATCCTCCATGCTGTCTCAGTGAAGGAATTAACAGATTTCAGGCTTGCTTATGACTCGTCTAGTGTTGCTGCTGCTATTTTTTATTTTTTCAATACTGCAGCTCAAAACCCAGCAGGAGAAAGCTGCAAAGAGCCTCTTGCACTCAGGCGGTTCTCCTTGAAGCAGTGGCACTTCCCAGATTGCTTCAATCTTTTAACCTTTGTCCCTTGCTTTCCACCACCCCTCTCTCTCTCAGTCAATCTTCCTGTGACGCAGCATGCACAGAGAGGGTAGCAGCTTCCCTCTCCTGTATTCAGAGGAAAGCAGCTGATCAGGAAAGAGAGAAAATGATCTACAGGTTACGTAATCAGGCTTAGCACAGAGCACGGCTGCTGCAGCCCACACGATGCACAGCGGCCGTTGGCAGCAGGGCTCAGCCCCAGCTCCGGATCCCCACACGCTTCCCCGCGCGCTCCGCCAGCCGCAGGCAGCTTGGCAGGAGTGAAGGAGCAACGACAGGGGTCCATTTGCCCAAAGAATTCTATCAACACGTGAGATTCAATATCAGATTTTCAGGAGGGGTGGGGAGGTGACAAGGAAAGCGCTTCCGAGGCCGCAGAGAAGAAAGTCAGAGGCACAGTTTGTCCCCACACACGGAGCGCAGCGCTGATCCAGGCATGAGACAACAGCTCGTGCTGGACACCAGCCAGGAACCTGGGAGACCCTGGACAGGTCACGTAAATTTTCTGTGCTTCTGTTTCTCCCCCTATGAAATGGGAATGAGATTGCTCCAAATGCTGTGAGAATAAATATCCTCACAAGCAAAGTGCTGCTGTACTTCAGGGTCCACTCACATTGCTGGAGAAAGGCGGCATGTTTACTCAGTACCAAGCACATGCAAAACCAGAAATTGCAAATTTGGGGGTAGGGAGATGATAAGCGAGGGCAACTACTGCAGCAATACAGTCATGATGAAACCTGGACTGGAACTAGATGCAGCAACAGGATTACATTTTTTAATTTCACGACATTTGGGTCTGCCCTGGTGTGCGGCCATACCCAGGTAGCACAGCTTTTATTTGCTGCACACACATTCCAAAAGCCTAAGCAAAAGCCACACAATCACCCAGGAGGAGGATCACTGAAAAAAATGGAACAAGTACCCAGAGGAAAAGTGTCACATTAACGTGATGACAGTATGTAACCCCGAGCCCTGAAGGGCAAGGTGAGGTCACTGGAGGAGACAGGGAACTAAGAACAGCACAGGCGATACGAGCAGCGACCAACAGCAAGTGCCACGTGTCTGATAAAATGCAGGCAAACAATTCTGTGAGGATCCAATTTCTTCGAGCCTTGTCAGCAGAAGGGGAAAGGGGACAGCGACACTCTGCGGCAGGCACAGAGGAAAGAAATCTCTTCACAGGACAGCAAAGACAAGAGATACCAGGGAAAGAACAGAGTTTAACCACACAAAAACCCCCAACATTATCTATCTACCTAATAACCAAATGCCTCTCTCACCTGTCAGCCTTTGTTTCCTCTTTGAAGAGCTACTCAAACTACCCAACTATGAAGTAC